AATGGGCTGTGCAGGGTAGCCCCTTCTTGTTGCAGCTGCAAGAGTGTCTACATAGTTTTTGATAACCGCACTGTACCAGCACCTGGCACACAGCAGCAACATATAGGATGGTAATCCACTGTGGTACAAGCTTCCCTTCAGCTTTTCCAGCCTGCGGGAATGGGTCTGGTTCTTGCACTAGTGGATCATAGGCAGATACACAGTGGTGGTACAATCTTCTCTTTACTGTATAAGCCAGTGAGGAATGTTTCACAAGCCTTGATGTCCTCCTTTTTTGATTAAGAGCTGAGAACTTAGAGTCACCTTTTAGATAATCCCTGATACAGTAGACATCGAGACCAATCCATTACGGTCAGCCATTATAAAGAACCTGTGAAAGAGACATAGAATCACATTAAATACTTGAAGTTATACTAGTACAATAATACTCGCACATAGCCTACAGTATATCAGTATGGAAAATATGGACCTACATGACATAACTGACAATCTTGACCTAGTAACACCTGGTGGCGTCTAGTAACACCTGGTGGCGTCTAATAACACCTGGTGGCGTCTAGTAACACCTGGTGGCGTCTAGTAACACCTGGTGGCGTCTACTAACACCGTGGCGTCTGGTAACACCTGGTGGCGTCTAGTAACACCTGGTGGCGTCTAGTAACACCTGGTGGCGTCTAGTAACACTGGTGGCGTCTAGTAACACCTGGTGGCGTCTAGTAAACACCTGGTGGCGTTCTAGTAACACCTGGTGGCGTTTAGTAACACCTGGTGGCGTTTAGTAACACCTGGTGGCGTCTAGTAACACCTGGTGGCGTCTAGTAACACCTGGTGGCGTCTGGTAACACCTGGTGGCGTCTAGTAACACCTGGTGGCGTCTAGTAACACCTGGTGGCGTCTAGTAACACCTGGTGGCGTCTAGTAACACCTGGTGGCGTCTAGTAACACCTGGTGGCGTCTAGTAACACCTGGTGGCGTCTAGTAACACCTGGTGGCGTCTAGTAACACCTGGTGGCGTCTAGAAACACCTGGTGAAGTTTAGTAACACCTGGTGGCGTCTAGTAGCACCTGGTGGCGTCTAGTAACACCTGGTGGCGTCTAGTAACACCTGGTGGCGTCTAGTAACACCTGGTGGCGTCTAGTAACACCTGGTGGCGTTTAGTAACACCTGGTGGCGTCTAGTAACACCTGGTGGCGTCTACTAACACCTGGTGGCGTCTGGTAACACCTGGTGGCGTCTAGTAACACCTGGTGGCGTCTAGTAACACCTGGTGGCGTCTAGTAACACCTGGTGGCGTCTAGTAACACCTGGTGGCGTCTAGAAACACCTGGTGAAGTTTAGTAACACCTGGTGGCGTCTAGTAGCACCTGGTGGCGTCTAGTAACACCTGGTGGCGTCTAGTAACACCTGGTGGCGTCTAGTAACACCTGGTGGCGTCTAGTAACACCTGGTGGCGTTTAGTAACACCTGGTGGCGTCTAGTAACACCTGGTGGCGTCTACTAACACCTGGTGGCGTCTGGTAACACCTGGTGGCGTCTAGTAACACCTGGTGGCGTCTAGTAACACCTGGTGGCGTCTAGTAACACCTGGTGGCGTCTAGTAACACCTGGTGGCGTCTAGAAACACCTGGTGAAGTTTAGTAACACCTGGTGGCGTCTAGTAGCACCTGGTGGCGTCTACTAACACCTGGTGGCATCTAGTAACACCTGGTGGCGTCTAGTAACACCTGGTGGCGTCTAGTAACACCTGGTGGCGTCTAGTAACACCTGGTGGCGTCTAGTAACACCTGGTGGCGTCTAGTAACACCTGGTGGCGTCTATTAGCACCTGGTGGCGTCTAGTAACACCTGGTGGCGTCTAGTAACACCTGGTGGCGTCTAGTAACACCTGGTGGCGTCTAGTAACACCTGGTGGCGTCTAGAAACACCTGGTGAAGTTTAGTAACACCTGGTGGCGTCTAGTAGCACCTGGTGGCGTCTAGTAACACCTGGTGGCGTCTAGTAACACCTGGTGGCGTCTAGTAACACCTGGTGGCGTCTAGTAACACTTGGTGGCGTCTAGTAACACCTGGTGGTGTTTAGTAACACCTGGTGGCGTCTAGTAACACCTGGTGGCGTCTACTAACACCTGGTGGCGTCTGGTAACACCTGGTGGCGTCTAGTAACACCTGGTGGCGTCTAGTAACACCTGGTGGCGTCTAGTAACACCTGGTGGCGTCTAGTAACACCTGGTGGCGTCTAGAAACACCTGGTGAAGTTTAGTAACACCTGGTGGCGTCTAGTAGCACCTGGTGGCGTCTACTAACACCTGGTGGCGTCTAGTAACACCTGGTGGCGTCTAGTAACACCTGGTGGCGTCTAGTAACACCTGGTGGCGTCTAGTAACACCTGGTGGCGTCTAGTAACACCTGGTGGCGTCTAGTAACAGTCAAACCCATCCAAACAACCAAACCAAACTATATTAAAACCAAATCATACTAAACGAAGGTTAACCTAACCTAACAGAACATTGTGTAAAGGAAAAGGACACAAGTGCAACTAATGTGTTTATCATTCATTACCTTTGAAACTTGTCATGATTTTGACCAGCTCTACCTGGAGCTCATTACCTTTGTAAATTCTCATGATTAATGTGTTTATGATTCATTACCTTTGCAATTATTCATGAGTGTGACCAGCTCTACCTGGAGCTCATTACCTTTGTAACTTGGTCATGATTATGACCAGATCTAGTTCATTACCTTTGTAACTTGCTCAGCTATCAAAACTTTGGAGTCCAGTCCCTGGACCAATTATGTACCTCTGTAATCTTTTGACTACCGCCCACAGGATGGGTATGGGGTGCATAATAAACATATTAAACTAAACTAAACTAAGTTGCACTTGTGTCCTTTTACTTTACATATTGTCGGTAATTCTACCAACTTTATAACAGAACATTACCAAACTAAACAAAATCAAACTTAACTCCTAACATTGTTAGTGTAGTGGGCGTGAACGCATAAAGCAAACTTAGGTTGTAAGTCAGAGGTCGTGCTAAGGTAGCGTCGAGTAACTATTTCCTGGGTGATCAGAAATTAAATTATTTAATCTTGCTCCACTGTATATTAACTTAGGAGGGTCATTTTGCTCTCATTTGAAAGCTAATAAAATGCTGCAAAATGTTTGTTTTGCAGCATTTTTCAATATATATTCCTATATGCCTGTGGCTGAGATGGAAATGCTGATCATCATACTTTTTACATACTTCAGGTACATTTAACAATAAAAATACTGGTGAAATCAGAGTCCTACCTGGAGGGTATTTCGGGGATCAACGCCCCCGCGGCCCGGTCCACGACCATCCTTCCCGGTGGATCAGGGTCTGATCAACCAGGCTGTTACTTCTGGCCGCACGTAGTCCAATGCACGAACCACAGCCCAGCTGATCCGGCACCGACTTTAACCTGCCACTGTTCGGATCACTCCTCTCTATAATCTTTCGTCGACGAGATCATTCCACTTTCCGACCACCCTGAGGTTGAGGAAATACTTCCTGACATCCCCGTGGTTCATCTGCTATTAACTTTAGCTGTGTCCTCGAGTTCCCGTTTCTCGCTTCTCAAACAGCCTGTCCTTGGCTACCCTACCAATTAACCTGAATATTTTGTAAATTGTTATCATCTCTTCCTTGATTTTTCCGTCCTCCAGTGTTGTTAGATTCAGTTCCGTTAGCTTCTCCTCATAGCTTACGCCCTTAGCTCAGGAACAAGCTTCGTCGCGTACTTCAGCACTTTTTCCAGTTTCTCATGTGTGGTTCCATATCAGTTTTGCATACTCCAGGATAGGCCCGACATATGTTGTATAAAGTGCTTGGATTGCTCTTTGTTGCGATTCCTGAAGTCCACTCTTTGATTTGCCAAACAAGTATTGGCTGCGGAGGTTATTTAGTTGATGTTAGCACGATGCTAACCATTAGTTTGTTGGTGAAGAGGTTAGGTGTAGCTTTAATGACCCTGGTGTAAATAACCTTCAACTCTCATTAAGTTCTTCATCATTCATACTTGGTTCCGCCCTGGCTGCCTGCTCCGCTCTAGTGCTGTATGACCTTGTGGGTTTAGTGCTTAGTTTTGGCCCATGGCTTGGTAGGCAAAGCTCTCGCTTCACACGCCGAGGGTCTGTGGTTCGATTCCCGGTAAGGGTGAAAACATTGGACGTGTTACCTCACACCTATTGTCCCTGTTCACCCATCAGTAAAATGGGTACCTGGGTGTTAGTCGACTGGTGTGGGTCGCATCCTGGGACAAAACTGACCTAATTTGCCCGAAATGTTCTGCATAAAAAAGCATTTTTCTATATCAGCAGTATATCATTGATGTCAGCTATGACTGTACACCTTGTACATGTACTTTTAGAAATAAAGATTATATTATATTATATAATGCCTGGCCGCCCGACCACCCTGGTCGCCCTGGCTGCCCACCTGGCTGCCCGCCCTGGCTGCCCACCTGGCTGCCCGCCCTGGCCGCCCTGGTTGTCCACCTGGCTGCCCACCTGGCTGCCCGCCCTGGCTGCCCGCCCTGGCTGCCCGCCCTGGTCGCTCTGGCTGCCTGCCCTGGCTGCCCGCCCTGGTCGCCCTGGCTGCCCGCCCTGGTCGCCCTGGCTGCCCGCCCTGCCCGCCTGGCTGCCCGCCCTGGTCGCCCTGGCTGCACGCCCTGGTCGCTCTGGCTGCCCGCCCTGGCTGCCCGCCCTGGTCGCCCTGGCTGCCCGCCCTGCCCGCCTGGCTGCCCGCCCGCCCGCCCTGGTCGCCCTGGCTGCCCGCCCTGCCCGCCCTGGTCGCCCTGGTCGCCCTGGTTGCCCGCCCTGGTCGCTCTGGCTGCCCGCCCTGGTCGCCCTGGCTGCCCGCCCTGGCTGCCCGCCCTGGTCGCCCTGGCTGCCCGCCCTGGTCGCCCTGGCTGCCCGCCCTGGCTGCCCGCCTTGCCCACCTGGCTGCCCGCCCTGGTCGCCCTGGCTGCCCGCCCGACGTCTATCAGCTGGTCGATTCATAACAAACATGGCGGCCATAGCCAGGCGAATTGTACCCAATGTCCACTTAGTTAACCGATTTGCTCAGTGCTCAAGGACTTTTAGAACAAACTTATCTCATGGCAGTATCAGCAGTAACCCAGGAATATATATGTATTGCACTGCTGTTGCGACATCGGTTTATTTTGGATGGAAATGGATTAGGAAGAATGCAGTGGTGGAAGCTGCCAAACCAACTCGTCGAATGGTGAGTCTTACATTTAAGGCAGCTTATTTTTAGAACATGAGAATAGTAGATCTATACTCGTAGCTTTAAACATTGACCTCTGTCTTAAGTAATATTTTAAACTTAAGATTTGATTTAAGTCTCCCCGAAATGCCTAGCCATGCTAGGTGTTCTAGTGGTACACTCTGTAATTATTATTTTACTACATGTAAACCACACAATAACCAAATTCTGTAAACTCAGCACTGTAATCCTTATAGAGAATAAACTTTGAATTGAATTGAATTGATGCGAGAATGCTGCAGGAAGTTGTAGTGGTTGGAGAAGTGGCAGTTCAGTGTGGACAAATGTATGGTTCTAGTCCCGTTGAAAAAAAATAACCATGGCATTTATAACGTAAGTAATGTACATCTCAATATGAATGTGAAGGGGACCTAGGACTTATGGTTAGCAGTAATCTAGTAAAGCCAAGACAACAGTGCATGAGTGTTTGCAATAAAGCTAATAACATTCTTGGCTTCATATAAAATATAAATAATAGGAGTCACACAAGAATGAGAAAATACTGCTGTAGGCCTACTAACCCATGCTAGGCAGGTCCAACTCTCATCCACATATACCCATCCAACTTGCATGTAAAGCTACTCAAGGTTAAGATAAGATTTATTTTGGTTTTTAAACTGGAGGGTTAGCCAGTCAGTGTGTCATCGAGGACTGTCTGGGGTCCTTCAGTCTTGTCCCCCAGGATGTGATCCACACCAGTCGACTAGCACTCGGGTACCTACTTACTGATAGGTGAACAGCAACAGCAGGTGTAAGGAAATGCCCAGCATTTCCACCTGTCTAAGGGATTGAATCATGGACATTCAATGTGTGAGGTGAGAACATCACCGATGCTACTTGGGAGTTTTTTTCTGCTCTACAATTTCTTTTGCTAAACCAGTATTTCTCTACAACTTTTTTAAATGTTAAAGTCCAGGATACAAAAATCATGTACTGTATGTATACATTTCTTTTTACACCAGGAAAATGCCTAACTTTGCAGTGCTCCTCTTTCTTAGTCTTTGAGTGATTCCTCTGCTACTACTACTACGTCCACCACCACTACTTGTCTTCCTCTACTACCTCTCTTGTCCCGTCCCTGTCTGCTGGCCTATATATACCCCCTCCTTTTCTCCTTTCTGTTAGTGTGACTTTGTAAATGGTCCAAGTTAGACCGAAACGTCGTCATAAGCTCCTCTCTCTCTTATGTGTGGATTATTTGTGTATCTTTGATGTTGTTTTAATGTCATCTTTGCATCATTTATAACATTTCCGGTATATTTTTAAATGTTTGTACAGCAGTGTATTGTATATTGTAATAAACAGAATAGAGGAAATCAGCTCTAAAAGACATGATTTAGGTATGCATACTGGTTAGAGAGCCCGTCATTAGTTCAAGTCATCAGCAAATGAGTACGTTGCTGAGTGAGGAGAGGCTGTATATCAATAACAACACTGCAACTAGCCGGGGGATTGAACCCGTGTTGTTTTAGCCCACCTCATGGTGAGTGAAAATTCACAACACTCTAACCCATGATACCATACAATCCTATCCTAGGATAGGATAGGATTGTATGGTCTTGTGGGCAGTGGTGGGCCCAGCTAACTGAAAAGTTAACTTTGGTATCCGCTAATCTGCAAACTAAAAAGATGGCCGAAAAAATTAACGGAAGCTAATGTTAAATGCTAACCGCTAATCCGCTAACTAAAAAATTAGCTCCACTAATGCTAAGCCACTAAATGGCCGAAAAAATTAACAGAAGGTAATGTTAAATGCTAACCGCTAATCCGCTAACTAAAAAATTAGCTCCACTAATGCTAAGCCACTAAATGGCCGAAAAAATTAACGGAAGGTAATGTTAAATGCTAACCGCTAATCCGCTAACTAAAAAATTAGCTCCACTAACGCTAAGCCACTAAATGGCCGAAAAAATTAACGGAAGCTAATGTTAAATGCTAACCACTAACTTTTTCACATGAATTCAGATTCAGTTTAGTGTTTTGGTCTTTTACTTTTAAGATTTTTAGAACAGACGTGGAGAGCTTCCTAATAACTAACAACTGATAATGAGGTTAATGTATCATGAACTCATTAGAGAGACAAAAATCTTAGTAAATTTTGGGACTGTTATTTTAATAACTTTCTAACATGGTTAAAATTGAAAAAAACTGAAAGCCCGCAGAGTACCACCACAGAAATTGTAAACATAAAGATTTTAATGAGACAAGATTGCTGCAAAATTAAGAAAACTCGGATAAAAAGTGAAATTTTGTTAATTCTGTAGGCTAATGGAAAGGACAGTGTTGCAAATAGTACTCATCTTTAATACTCGAGTATAACTACCAGTGTTGTAAAATAACGAAGTAAAACTACTTGAGTATTGTACTTAAGTAACTTTTTCAGTATTTACTTTTTAAAAAGTACTGAAATTGCTCACTGCTTTTAATTTTACATAAGTACTGAAGTCTTTTATTACTTTTACTTTATAACAGTCTGAAAATGATACTTTACTCGTTACATCATCAGTAATTGAAAAGTAAACGCCGAGAAAAATTACTCAAGTGGACCCTCGGTTATTGGCTGTAATCCGTTCCAGAAGGTCGGCCTAAAACCGAAATGGTCAAAAAAACGAAATAATATTCCCCATAAGAATTAATGTAAATACAATTAATCCGTTCCAGACACCCAAAAATATTAACAAAAAATACATTTTTTTTTTTTAAGATTAATTATAGTTTTACATTCACAGAACATTGAGAACTAAATAAACTAAATACATGAACAATTAAATCACTATTACATACCTTTATTGAAGACTCCTTTTGGCTTATGGAAGATAGAGAGGAGGAGAGAGGGAGTTGGGGGTTAGTGTTTGGAAGGGGAATCCCCTCCGTAAGGACTTCAGGTAACAAATCCTTCTCTGGGGTTACTTCCCTCTTTGTCTTTTAATGACACTAGAACCAGCTTGAGAGTCACTGGACCCCTGTCACACAAAATTAGTCCAGAGTGCTCTGTTTTTGGTGTCTCTTAAGATTTCCCTGAAGTGGAAGAAGGTTTTGTCACTAAACATGTTGCAGATATGGCTTTTTTCAGCTTGGTCAGGGTGATACTTTTCAACAAAACTTTGCACCTCATTCCACTTTGCACACATGTCCTTAATCACTGAAGAAGGCACCTTCTCCCCTCTCTTTTCTCCCCCTCTGAAGCAATTTCCTCAACTGTAGTCTGTTGCTGTTTCAGTTGAAGATCTTGCAGCTCTTCAGCGGTTAGCTCTTCCCTGTGGTCCTCCACCAACTGTTCCACATCCTTGCCACTCACATCCAACCCCATGGACTTCCCCAGTGCCACAGTAGATTGCACAACAGGCATAGGGTCCTCAGGGTCAGCCCCCAAACCCTTCAAAATCCCTCTCTTGGACACAATCTGGCCACAATTTTCTCCAAGTAGAGTTCAAAGTCCTGGAAGCCACTCCCTGCCAAGCCTTACCTATAAGGCTAATGCAGTGAAGGATACTGAAGTGATTCCTCCAGAACTCTCTTAGGGTCAGATGAGTGTCCAAGGTCACTTCAAAGCACCTTTAAACCACTGCTTTTGTGTAGAGTTTTTTGAAGTTAGAAATGACCTGCTGGTCCATGGGCTGGATGAGAGGAGTGGTGTTAGGAGGCAAGAACTTCACTGTTATAAAACAGAAATCCATAAAGAATTGGTCTTCCAAGTCTGGAGGATGAGCAGGAGCATTGTCCGATACCAAGAGGCACTTAAGTGGCAATTTCTTTTCCAGGAGGTATTTTTTCACACTGGGGCCAAATACATCATTGACCCACTCTTTGAAAATGTGCCTTGTGACCCATGCCTTATTATTAGCTTTCCACATCACACAATTTATTCATGATGCATTGTTTTTCTTGAACACACTGGGATTTTCAGAGTGATACACCAGTAAAGGCTTCACTCTGAAATCCCCACTAGCATTAGCACAGAACAAAAGAGTAAGCCTGTCTTTCATAGGCTTGTGTCCTGGCAGTGCTTTTTCCTCCTGCGTAATGTAGGTCCTTTTTGGCATTTTCTTCCAAAAGAGGCCTGTTTCTTCACAATTAAACACTTGTTGGGGAGGAAGCCTTCAGCCTCTATGTACCCCTTGAATTCCTGCACAAATTTTTCAGCCACACATTTGTCAGAACTTGCATCCTCTCCATGCCTTACCACACTGTGTATGCCACTACGCTTCTTAAATCTCTCAAACCAGCCTTTGCTGGCCCTAAATTCACTAACAACAGCACTTGTTCCAGGCATTTTCTTTACAAGATCTGCATGCAACTGCCTTGCCTTCTCATGAATCATCGGCTCCACAACACTATCTCCCGCTAATTGTTTCTCGGTGATCGACAAAACCAACAACTTCTCCATATCTCCCATTATCGGTGACCTTTGTTTGGTTAGCACAGTTACTCCTTTCACAACATCAGCTTCCTTGATTTGTTCTTTCTTTGCCACGATAGAAGCAATTGTTGATTTGTTTTTCCCATACGTCCTGGCAAGTTCTAGCACTCGAACACAACTCTCATACTTTTCAACAACTTCTTTCTTAAATTCCATCATGTTTCTCAATTTCTTTACCAAAGGAACTTTACTAGGAACTTTCTGTGGGGCCATGGTTATTTATTTCCCAGTTGCACTTAATCGATAACCACAAAAATCAATGAATTATAGCGAAATGTTTGGATGACTGAGCAGAAGCTTCCTCACTCACCCAGAGACAAAGCCAGACTGATGCGCTTGCAGCTGGTGGCGGCGGGTTGACGCGTACCATACAGCCGATAAGTGAAATAACAGCCGATAACTGGGAGCTGAAAAACCGGCTAATAAGCGGAATGGCCAATAACTGAGGGTCCACTGTACTCAGGTAGTTTTGCTTTGTTACTTTACAGCACTGGGAAAGGTACTTTACTTTTAAACTGTCATAACTTGCAATACCCAC